CGGCATGACCTTATTTCCTCAATACCTGCCATGTTTATTCGTGACCTAACATAGCATGGAGTACGTGAGTGCGATGCTATGGAAACAACTTCTCTCACTAAGAAGATGATACACAAACAAAACCGTTTTCGAAACGAATATTCAGGACAATTGAAGTAGATGAAGGACCTAAAACGATTGCGACAAGTCGAACTTGGTGAAGTAGTCCTAGTTGGAAACGAAAATAATAAACGCCTTGATTGGCCTTTGGGGAGTATCATCCAACTCCTTCCAGGTAGAGATGGCAAGATTCGTTTGGGGCAGGTCAGAATATCAAAGGGAATCGTGCTAAGGCTTATTTAACGAATTTATCCGTTGCAACGTATCGATGATATCGCAGCCACCAATAATCTACGAGATGCAGAATCGTCCAATGAGGATTATGCAGCGAATCAAGTAGACTTGCAGGTTCCTGATATTTTGTCTCCAAGAGAATACATCAGTGCGGGAGTGTCAGATGTCAATTATTATGACATCAAAAGCAGAGCAACCGTAACTGGAAGTGTGTGTACGCGTGTTAGTTAATCCGATACACCAAACAGTGTGAAAATGACACGAAGTAGCCGAGTTTGTAAGCCATCGAAACATTTTACTGTATAGTATGTAATATTTTTCATTTGTATTTAAAAAATGTCTCTTATTTTTATGTGAGTCACTTTCTTGGTATCGTTCCTCAGGTGGGAAGATGTATGAGACATTTCCATGTTCATTCTGGCTATCCAGATTTGAGAAGTTGTCAATGAAGTACTTCTTGAAGTTATTAGTTGACATTTGACTTTTTCTTACATATTACAGAAGAGAATGATATTTGGTGAAATTATATCGATGCCGCCGTTCAGAGAGAAATATATTATTTTATCTCTCTGACTAAAAAAAATGCCTTTGAACATTTCAATGAGTTTACTCACGTTTACCCATAAGTATTATTATATGTCATGGATCTGAAGTACCAGTTTTGAGATTAATTGAAAGGATATTCTGAAAATTGACTACTCATTTTCATATTATTATCGCAACTGAGATGCTTTGCCGTAACTGTCCAAACTTCTAACCATACGATTCAACTATACAACTTTACATAGAGGAAATAAGTCAATATTTTATGTTAGCTTCATGCTGTTATCCAAATTCACGAGTTCCCACTCATCTCCATCATTTCCATCCATTAAATACAAGGTTTGATAAGCTCTAATGTGTATTGGTTCAAAGTGCTACGCACGAATACATCATGGAAGGGTAATTTCTGAATATATTTTGAATGCAATGTCTCTAGAATTTAGTCCATATTTCCATAAAATGACTCATCAAAATACATTCCCTATTATCAGAATTCAAATACATATTGCTACTATATTCAAAAACAAAGTATTCATGCAATGAAAATGTAATAGTGAAGACATTAATGGATGTTATACATTTTCTCAACAGGATTAGTAGGTATGCAATATTTCGAAAATATTTGTTACAAATTATAAAATGATAATGTTGTATAAATAGTATTATTTTGATATCAAACACTTCCACACATATGCTAATCATTTTTTAATTATTGACACATTATTGAGAACTCAATAAGAATTTACTCCATTCATACAAATAACTCATGGCACTGAAGAAGAGACAAGTCCAAGAAATAAAAGGTAATGGAATACCAGAGATAGAGTTGAAGAAACATGATTATTCTCATCTATGGTAAGAAAAAGACATGCTGATAAGATCTTATTAACCGATGAAAAACTGTTATTATTAGTGAGAACAATGAATTCGTCACCGAAATAATGCATGCTCTTTGCTACTCTGAAGTTTTCATATTATTTTCTATTATGTTGGTTACATGAAATTCAGAAAAAATATTGGGATACATATTTTCTGAACATATTATCAGAAAACCGGAGATGATGCTGAACTATCGCAATATTCAACCGTAAATAAAAATATAATCCAGTCAAATGGTATCGATAAAAGACCCAAGGTCGCTATTTGAAATATTAGCGAAATTACATTTTTTTTCTCCAGTTTTCAACCTAAAATATGACTCTAACGTTTGAAAGAAAAAATTTGATTCCTACATTTTTAGATCAGAATGAGATTATTGTGAACATTTATTTCTGAAAAACAACCATTGAAAATTGAACATTTTTTAAAAAACTGAAAATTATCATTCTTGTCATGGGCTCAGCATCAGAAATCTCAGTGCTCCATACGTGAGGACAACACTCCAAAGCAGGTCTGATCTAAGCTTTATTAAGCATCAACAGTTGCTGAGGTGTGAACATTTTTCTGGTTCGGAACAGTGTTCCAAGCTTTTGAAAAGCAGCCTTTGCAATTCCAGCGACATGATTGTGCCAAGACATATCGGTGTCCATTTTGACCCCCAACAAACTTATCGAAACAGAAAGCGGAATTGTCTGACCTGACATCATTATATCCGGTTCGAGGACATTTATCTTCTTGGAGAAAACCTATGCCGGAGTTTTTGTGGCATTGAATTGAACCTGTTTACTTTGACTCCAATTCGAAATCACTTCTAGATCTTCATTAAAATATGCAACTTTCTGCTGCTGGTGAAGATGTGCCTTCGAAGCCAAAGTCGTGGAATCCAATTGGAATGACGAGACAAGTGTGCTGTCGTCAGCATAACAATATATTGGATTCTTGGTTTTTTCCAATGAGTCGTTGATATACATAAAAAGAGAGTTGGTGACAATAAAGATCCCTGGGGAACACCAGGTAGAAGTATTCGAGATATATTCATCGATGACCACTTGCTGGGAACGTCCTTTCAGGAAGCTGAAATGATCCGACAAGCCATAGCAACAAAATTTGGCCAGCAAACCCTCATGCCGCACACGGTCAAAGGTCTTAGAAATATCAAGCGCAACAGCTCTTGATTTTCCATGTTTCTCGATTACGTTATTTCCAATATGGGTGATATACGATAGAAAGTCGCCTGTTGATCTTTGTTTCCGAAAGCCATATCGATGATCGCTCAAGATGTATGCCCAGGTAACGTCAAAGCGAAAGATTCCTGGGAATTTGTTATTCTTGAACCTATAATAACCGCCACTGGCGTGAGTAATAGTTAATAACAGCCTTTTGCATTGAATTAATGTAGGAAACGTGGAATTTTAATAAACATTATCAATACGATTTCGGAATACATTACTCGAATGAATTGGATACAAAGTATTGATTTTATATCACCAAACGTAATTAATACAAAAGACTGATTCAGGCGGGCGGCTCAACGGATATCGCGGATGAAATTACTTGGGTATGATTTATAGTATGCAGACTAAACAATAACGGTTCCTAGACATAGTCGGGTAAGATGTTAGCACCTAAACAATTTTATTGATGGAACCCATGGACCACCATCATTAAAAAAGTCGAGGCGGAGATTTTCAATATGTATTACTTATTAATACAGGGGACCAATGGTAAGTTACGAGAATTTTTGTAATGACCATATGCGGGGGCGGATGGAGTTGCCGGAAAAATATTTGGGAAGTCACGGGAGAGTCAGTGCGAGTTTGGTGCAAGAACACGGCGGACGAGGATATCGTCAAAAAGTTGAGGTTTTAGAGAAATTGAAAAGAATTATTTCAACCGTTCAGTGGATGAAGATATGGAGGAAAATATATATAAAGATTGCAAAGGCATGATATTAAATTTCACGAACAACGATTGGCAGTGGTCGAATGCTAAACATTTGCAATTATTCTTAATGCTATTTTTTGTAATCGAAAAATATTCATTGCAGAATTGGATTTACCACATAACATAATGCCATAAGAAATTCTACTATGAATGAGAGGATAGTAAATGCTGAATAGAACATTTTTGTTACAAATCTGTTTCATTTGCCCCGGAAAGAATATAAGATTATCGTTATGACTGGAAAAATTTAACGACTCTTCTAGTTGGATTCCCAAAAGATTTACAGAACTTCCAACTTCATCATGAACTCGCAAATGTTTATTTTTCAGCCACAACCATCAGCGGTTGGATTAAAGTCAGTCGTTTCATAAATATCAAATTGAAAGCTCGATCTAATCGATCTGAATTCCATCCAGAAAAGAGCCATCCGTCTGATTGGAGACGCGAACATCACGTGCAATCTTGATTACCTGGAACATCGAAAAAAGATTGATACTATAGATACTTCAACGGGTAGTGTTCAAGTGACTTGGCACATTTGATTCCACCAAGAGCGGTACAGAAATACGCGACGGACTGTGGCTGCTCGTCTTTTTGAGGTTCAACTTACTACACCTCGAGCTTCACTGTTTATAAGAACTCTTTCATTTGGAAAACTGCGTTCATGTGGAATAAACTTCCTGGGACCTCTTTTTCAAATGGATTCAATCGTCAGCAATTCAAATCCATTGTGAATCGCTATGAGAAAAAATCTTCATTTTATGAAAAAACTGTTCAACTTTTCGAATGACAGCATTTCAGAAACGGACGGCCCTAATAATCCCGTTCATGTCTCAGATAATAGCAGAATTTTTCTGTGTCAAAAGTTGTTTTGTATTTATATTTTACATTGCATACTTTCTACGCTTATATTTCAAAAAGCAATAGATTTAGCACCAGTAAAAACATGAGGTTTCGAAATGAAGCTGATAGTTTATGTTTCTTCTGAATCTAATTATCATATATTGCATATGTATTATATTACCGATATAATTATTATGTTATAACTATATATTGTTAAGCAGACGGCAGGCTCTCATCCATACAGTGTTTGCAAATCAACAAAATGCGATTGAATTGAGGAAGAATGGGAAAAATGCAAAATTAAAAGTTAATTCTCAAATTAAACAGATTCTGATGAGGAAGTATAAACAATATTTTCATAAATTTTATTAGGTATAGATAAATTTGTTTATATTCTCCTCAAAATCATTATTTGAAAAATACTGACATTCACGATATTAATACATTATGATTCATACCTTGTTCTTGTTTAGTTTTCTCCATTGCTGCACAGGCAGCTCTCCATTCCTGCAACTCAGGAGATGGAATAAGGCCTGCCGATCCAGCGGCATTATCTTTCCTTGCCTGCCACCAGTGATGATCGTCTTTGCTGATAATCTGTGAAAAATTATTAGATAACATACCCGGTGTCAACGAATCTATTAGACAAGTCATAACTTCTAGACTATTAGGTGTATCAATATGATATTTAGTATAGGTACAAGGTATGTAAGGAGGAGAGTTTTCACATATTTTTCACTTTCAGGACACTTCCGGTTTCACAGGAAATGGCTCCAGTATGAATATTTCCTTCAAAGATTTCAAGAGTGGCTGGGGCTGTTGCATAGATGATCCTTTCTTCAACATATCCTAAAATGGAATGATCTAGCACAGTCAGATCCGGTAAGCAGGCATGCCACCGTACTGGATCATTGCGGTTGCAATAACTTGATTATTGAAATGCTCTATTAAGTAGTCAAGAACGTCTCTGGTATTATGAGGGGGTGCTCCATCTTGTTGGAATTTACGTAAAACTTCCAACAAAAATATCGGTACACTTATTTTGTTTCCAATGATACCAGCCCAGACATTGACACCAATCCTTTCTTGAAAATTACCCTCTCTCATTGCATGTTGATTTTGTAATTAAGAGTATTCTTACTATCGTATCGCTCTGGTTGCGATCCGGCATCGCGCCGGTACCGGTTGGTCGAAAAGAATATGGCTCGATCCACACTATGATGCCGTTCTCGGTCCGATCTCGCTCCGGTCTCGGTCTCGCTGTGTCTACACTACTAGTTCCACACTCAGTCTGTCTCGATCCATGGTCGACATAGAACGTTTCTCGAAATAATTCGATAAATTACACTCGTCAAAAAATGGCATTCAATTTTTAATCGAAGAATCAGCGATAATAGCTATTAGTTTGAACGAACAGAATACAAATGAAAAAAAATTACAACATAAAATGAAAAGAAGAAAAAGAATGTGGATACATCCCAGTTTACTAACGAGAAAAGAAGAAGGCGAATATCACACGTTATATCGTCATATGATAGACGACGAAGAAAAGTTTATTATTTATGATCAAATAATATAAATAACTCAAATAAAGTACTTTATAGATTCCCACAATTTATTACTAGCCATGATTAGAAGAAAAATGTAACGTCTCCTTGCAAGATCGAAGAAAGACTGGAGTTGAAACAAAAACGTATTCACACTGTCGGTACAAGTCATGACAGGCCCGATCTCGCTCCAGTCTCGCTCCAGTCAAATATTCTTTTCGACCAACCGGTACCGGCGCGATGCCGGATCGGAACCAGAGCGATACGATAGTGAGAATACTCTGATTCTTGTTTGAGAATACTTCATCGGACCGGGAACGGACCGAGACCGGAGCGAGATCGGACCGCGAACGGCATCATAGTGTGGATCAAGCCTATTTGACTGGAGCGAGATCGGACCTGTCATGACTTGTACCGACTGTGTGAATTCGTTTTTGTTTCTACTCCAGTCTTTCTTCGGTCTTGCAAGGAGACGTGACATTTTTCTTCTAGTCATGGCTAGTAATAAATCGTGGGATTCTGAAAAAATAAGTACTTTATTTGAGTTATTTATAACATTTGATCATAAATAATAAACTTTTCTTCGTCGTCTATCAAATGACGATATAACGTGTGATATTCGCCTTCTTCTTTTCTCGTTAGTAAACTGGGATGTATCCACATTCTTCTTCTTTTCATTTTATGTTTTAATTTTTTTTAATTTGTATTCTGTTTGTCCAAACTAATAGCTATTATCGCTAATTCTTCGATTGAAAAATTAAATGCCATTTTTTGGCGAGTACAATTTATCGAATTATTTCGAGAAACGACCTATGTCGACCATGGATCGAGACAGACTGAGTGCGGAATTAGTAGTGTAGACACAGCGAGATTTGATCGGACCGAGACCGGAGTGAGATCGGACCAAGAACGGCATCATAGTGTGGATAGAGCCTAAAACGTCGCGTGCCGGTCTACTTATTACTACACCTTTGGTGTAGTAATATATATTACTGGAGTTTTATCCCAACATCAAACCGTTATTTTTAACACATCGACACGTGTTTCAATCACCAAGTGATCATCTTCAAGAGGAAGATTAAACTGATTCTTTAAATTTTGGAAAAATTGGATATCTTTTACAGCTCTTCAGAAACCAAATATCTGTTTGTATTAGCAGTTGTTGTTGAGTACTTACGTTACAGATCCAGTTCCGTTGACCTGGGCGGCATTATGTACTTGTGATGCACTGTTTGGAACCTTTGGTGTAGTAATGAATATTACTCGAGTTTCAATCTTCCTTTTGAAGATGATCACTTGGTGATTGAAACACGTGTCGAGGTGTTGAAAATAACGGTTTGGTGTTAGGATAAAACTCCAGTAATATTTAAATAGTTTAATTGAAAAAAAAAAAAGATAATGATGATATAGATAAGGTACATCACAACACTCTCCTCAGCAATCGACGGTATCGATCAGATAAAACAAAATAATAAAATCGTTGGGCTTAGCGTAACCTGAGTAAATATGTGAATACTACGCCAACGATTTTATTATTTTTCAACTGATCAATACTGTAGATTGCCGAGGAGAGTGGCGTGATCACTGCTACCTAGGACTTTCCGAATTATTTTTCAGGTTTTAATACATTATCCACATCATTATTTCTTTTAATACAACCGTTTAATACAATTAATTTACTCATTTTATTTTCAAGTTTTCAATTTCTGATTTTGTTACTCAATTCTTCTCATTCTATTCAGTTCATTCAGTGCGTCAGTATTACAAGGTAATATGTAATCTGTCATTTTGTAGCTGCAGCCATCTTGATTTTGCATCTTTTTCACAGAGTAGGTACTACTATTCGACTATTCAAACCTAGTCATTTGACAGCCATATTGAGGTAGTTGTGAAAAAATATGCAATCCGCCATTTAGTAGCTGCGGTCATTTTGGATTCACAATGATACATAAATTTATTAAATTGTATTGTCATCAATATTAAATGTGTACCAAATATCAGATCAATTTGTCAACAGGAAAGGAGTTATTCAATTACTAAATTTTACCCAAACAAACAAACAGGTAAAGCTAAATAAAACTGTTAAATTAAAAACTTGTATCTCTCCAATTCAACTCTTCACTTCACTAGACTTTTTATTGTCGTTTGTTGTGATATACAAGAGGCCAAGATTTCAAAAATGCACAATTTGTTGCGAGATTATCTGAATTTTGCCTTAGAAAACAAATATACTTTCAATACACTTTCTTATTCATCAAAGTGTAAATTTTATTCCGATTATTACATGTTTTCAACACAAATTTGAACATTGTACTAGTTCTTCAAAAAATTACCTTGATTATTCACACAATTGTTCGGTTATTTGTGTAACAAATCTATTTTTAGGTTATGTTCACTTCGTTGTTCGATGAAATGTGCGTTATAACTATTGCAATGCAATTCCCTTCAATAACTACTGTTCAGGAAGCATCGGCCAATAAGATAACGCTGCGGCTGATTTTAATGCATGTACATATTTTTTCATTTTTGCAAATACATACAATTAGAAAACTGAGCTATCTTTTTCTATGAAACAACTATATACAAGCATTGTATATCAATTTCTATAATGACAGAAAAGAAGGCGAAGTCTAAATTTTCTAGTTGTATTTTTTTGCGAAAATAAATGAAAACTTTCGGTTTTCTATGTGCTCAGCGCAGATTTTGCCAGATGGAATAAAAAAAGTGGCAATAGATCAAAGATCTGCAGTATATGATAGTGAAGAGAAGGTGTCATTTTTCGAGTTCTCAAAAATCTGCAACAAATGAAATAGTTTCAATCGGTGTTTTGAAGAAGACAAATGTCCAAATAAAGATCTTATACACTTGGAGAACATTGATTCGTTGTCATATTGGGTGACAAAGTTTCACTGAGGAATCGGTTTCTTATTGATTACTGAATAATGATAATAATAAATGCTTTTATTGAAAGGTTACTCAGTATGAGAGATACTAACCTAACGTAACAAATGGCAGAATTCAAAATCTACACATGATAAATCAAGGCAGATATTGCTCTTTCATCTAACCAGAAATGTTTCCACCGACTTTGATATAAATTGCATTAATAATAATGAACGCTTTTATCGATATGTTCTTCAAGGATACCGAAACCTTAGCTTATACAAAAACCTGACTTTCAGTTTTCTTAAGTCAAGTGGGCTGAAGTTTGGAACTGAGGGATTTATCATGACCTGCCAGAATGGTGTCTTCAACACCTTATTTTACCCTAGTCGATTGATGATTTTCGTTGCTCTCAAGATACAGGGCTTGCCGCGCCTGAGACCCTGATACATTTGCTGCATGTCCGGCTTATGCGGCCTCAGCCTACAACAGGCCTTTTCTTTTATCACGTAGTAACATTGGTATATTCTATCTAAACCGTAACAGATAGGAAGACGATCAAATTGGAAAAAGGTAACTGTCATCGGGAACAATACAATGGTCTAAGAAAATTTCGGGGACTTTCGCCCTTCTCGAGTTATACGGGGAAAACCAAAAATGCTGTTTCTCGTTTTTTTTCGAATGGAATTGTTATTTCGGACAATATAAAAAATGGGAAATGAAAATGTTACTGTATTTGAAGTGTAATATGAAGTGATAATAAATATTCGATAAAACGTTTCGTGCCAACATGGCCACCATCACCTTATTTTTAAATAAGAACCTGCCTATTTTATTACAGATATTGATTAAGCAATAAATTCACAATCCAAGGGTACATCACATTTGATACTTTTATAGCGTTTCATTTGAAATAACTGCCATCATCAGTGACAACAATTTTATATTCAAAATCCAAGGGTATATCACATTTGATATTTTTATAGCGTTTCATTTGAAATAACTACCATCATCAGTGACAACAAATTTAAATCACGGTTCCGTCGTTACTTCTTTTGTAAATTGTTTCGGTTTCTTCAAAATATAATTCAGACAACCCAATAAATTCGACAGGTAGGTACCCTAGCACAATGAAAATTCGTACTTTTTCGTTTTGGAAATTTTTGTATTGCCGTAATCCTTCTTTCAGAGCTCATTTCTCCCTAATC